TTTGGTTATGGCGGTGGTAAGGTAGGTTGATAGTGTAAGAAGGAAATCGGTCTCGTTGGCTCCTCCCAGAACGAGTTGCCAATCCGCGGCTGAGATTGGCCGGATTCTCCTTGTTTCGGTTCTGAACAAACAGAGCAAGCTGTGATGGATCATGGAAAACGGCAAACAGGAGAATGGCTCGATGGAAAATTCATCGGGGACAAGATACCGAAAATCCAAAGACAGTTGCTTTCTTTTTTTCTTGCTGGTTCTTCCAAGTCTTGCCAAGATGCACGTAAACGTATCCACGGGCTTCTATCCAGTATCCAGTGAGTGATGCAGTGGTGCTCTGCTGCTCTGCTGGCCTGACATTGGATTGAATGGAGAGTTGTGTGGGATGGCATGGCATGGGATGAATGGCATGGCATGGCATGGGATGGATGGCATAGCATGGCATGGCCCGCCAACTGTCTGCCTCTAGAAAACCACCCGCCCTGCCGGATGTGTCTCCATGTTCATCCACCCATCCATCTATCCAGCTCGTGATGACATTCCATCCCTACGCTATCGTCCTCGCTCTCTTCGTGCCTTGTCCGCCCGCGGCAGAACAGGGCCAAATGAATGTCTGACATGGGCATCTTGAGTCTTGACAAATGGAAATCCCAAGCCGGCCAGGCTTCACGGGCAATGACTTGGTGCCTGTCGTCCACCCGCCCTGTCTCGTCTGTTCGTCACCACGGCGGAAGCAGCCCAGTCCGGCGCGTTCGATACTGTAGAGAGCTTCGATAGCAGTGGTCGATCAGACCCGGAAACAGTCTGTCGCAGTGCAATCAGGTCCAGAGAATGATGTTATCATACCGGTTTCCCACTCAGCTCGCCGCCAATGGGAATGTTGCGGGGCTCCATGCCGGTCGGGACCCCTCTGCCAAGATCTTGAATTCCTGCCAATTGTGAACGTCAACCTTTGCCATGTTCCTGGATTCTCGGGCCCAGTTCTCAATGTTGACTGCACCCCAGGGACAATCTCCAATAGGTACAGTAGTGTATTCTCCCGGCCGTCAAGGTCCCTGTAGCTCTTTTTTTATATATTTCAACTTGTTTCTTATCGTTCTCGTTGGCTCTCTGGAGAAAGTTGGAGCTTGTGAAGCAGACCACGGGGGGGGGGAGCAGGGGCGCGGTAACAAAGCCCGGGAGTGCAATGAGTTCTGTGTGCTGTGTCAAAATCTCGTGAACCCTCTCATTTTGTTCAATTCTTTTTTTTGTGCATTTATGATTTCCGCATCTGTGCACTCTTCGTTGTGGTGTACAAGAGCAGTCAGGGCAGTGATGATGAACCGGCGTAACGGGCACCCGCCAGCAAGACAGGCAAGACAGGGTACAACAAGATCACACGGGGGAAAAAGGGAGTGACCTCGATGCAGAAGCTGTCGATCCCGGCCGGATTCGGGGAGGTTACAAATGGAATGGAAGACGAAGCTTGGTCGGGTTGGCTCACCACACTGCACGGATCAATCTTCCTCATGTTTTTCTTCGGGAATTTCGAAAGCTCCTGGCGCCGGTGACCGAAGCTCGAAGCAAGCAAAAGCGGAGCCTCACTTTCCTTCCTTACTTGTGGACAATTTCCGATGTGCAATTGTGGCATTCCATCCTGGTAAAGTGTGGCGCGAGCTACTCCACTTATTCTGTGGCTTGGCCATTCCATTTCCCCAAATCCCCATCGCATGAACATCGCATGCGGGCGAGAACGTGGCTGCCCGGCCGGCCCTGGGATCAGATGAAATGTTTCGTTTCGACTTTTCATCCTTTCCTCAAAGTCAAGAACGGTCGGACTGAATGCCACCGTCTCTTCGGGATCTGTCTGACCACTGCCGCCTACTGCATCTATGAATTGTTTCAAGCCCTCGTCCAGTCGCATCGCCAGTGGCCCTCTTGCGATCCTCAAATATCATGCGAAACAACAGCAACCCAGGGTCGCCAGGGAAAGACCTTTGATGAAAGATAAGGAATTAAGGATGAACTCCTTATGCATCCATCATGGGATCTTCCCTCCGCATTTTCTTCGCAGAAAAATAAGCATGCACGTGTGCAACATGGGCCCATGCCTGTACACACTATGCAGTACGCTCTCGTCATGCCTCTCATTGCGCAGCCAAGAGCGACCTCTCCCTTCCCTTCCCTTGAGTCCCCTTTTCTTCCCTCCCTGTGCACACCCTCCGTATATCGCTTGGCGCCGAATCTCTTGCTCGGAATGTTTTATACCCCGTCCGCCGCCTGCGAACCGACGGGCAGAGACGAGATGTAAGGGAACCGACATGACGAGGATTACAACGCAAGCACGGTCCGGCATCCAATATGGGACAATAGACCGGCAACGACACATAACAGCAAACCTACCTGTCTGCCATGGCATGGCATGACCTCAAGTCTTCCCCTGTCGTGCCTGTCGTGTTGTTACACAAACACGGGATGGGCGATACGAACGCGCTGTTGGTGGCCGCAGATATATGACCGCGCCGTCCGTCATGCCGTTGGGACTTGCGAGAGAGAGGGAGAGAGAGAGAGAACACAAATATTATCAGACATAGGTAGTACTGTAGTCCATTCTTCGGAATTGGCTATTGCCAGTTATCTCGCTGCGCTTCAGGAGGGGGGGGTGGAAAAGTAGGCTTTGTCTCGATATTGATATCTCTTACTTCAACTATCCGAAAGAGAAAGCCGCTGAGCCTCCCCGAAAGGAGATTACACTACCTACTGTATACTCCTTGCCCTTGGAATTCGGGGTTCTTCTTCATATCTCTCTCTTTTTCCAAAGTCACGCCTTCGGTGTCAGCAGCCGCGAAGCTGAAGATGATCACTATTTTGCCCAGACCGCTTTGTCGCTTCTCCGTCCGGCCAAAAGTCCCCAAAAGATGACCTCATTCGCGGCCTTGGGATAATCTATCCTAGACGACGAATCCCCCGCAGCGCAAAAGTAACACTTGTTAGGCGACCGAGGAAGAGATTGGGATCGTTCCCGAACAATCGTGAAGATTTGCACCATGACGTTGGACCTGTGTTGCCGCGTGCCTCTTTGGGCACGGGAGTTGATGAAACGACAGCGGTTTCAGCATCGATCTTCTTTGGCGCATCTCGGTGCTCTGGTAGCATCCCTGTTCCTGGAACAAGAAAAATTCCCATGTTCCTTTCGTTGTGTTCGTGGTGCGGAGAATCCGCTGGAGATTTCCCTGGCTTGCATCGGCCGTCTTTCTGTCTTTGTTGAGACGGCAGTTGAGAGAGATCAGATATCGCGTCTCTAGTGTACGTCCTTATTTTTCCACGGCTAGGTAGAATGATATCTGATGCCTCCCCCATTATGCTGATCCACCACAGTTAGGTAGCATTATTGATCGTATTAGGGAAAGGGGCAAAAGCCAAAAAGAATGCCGGGTCGGAGTTCATGCGACCTGACTTCCGCCCTCAGCCTTTCATCTTTCTCAGCTGCGACCGTTGGCTTGACCACAAAGAAGGTTGAGTGGGGCATATACGGCTAGCAGACGGTGTGGTGAGGTGTCAAGGTACATACCTAAGAGGTGTATAAGGTCTAGATGGCCGATGGAATGGTGCAGGTGAGAGATAGGGGATTGTTAGTTGTAGCCCATCCGCGTGCCTGTTGTCACTGGGGTCGCTCAGACTTGTCGATGTGGAAATCCGCGAGACGGAGGGTTACGCGACAGCATCAAGGAAATGAATGGGGGCTTTTTCCGCGGTAGGTATGAGTTGCCCCATGCTGTTCTCATCTTTCTACAGCCCTTCCACGCCCACAGTTCCAGCATGAGATTGTGACATGCAAAAAAGCGAAATAGAGGTCAATAATCGACGCCGTGGCTGACCAAAAGACGCAACAAAGAAAAAGACTCCAAGCTTCCATGCAGACCAGTGTGCTGATTTTGGTGGTGGCAATGGAACGTTGGAAGTTTGGTTGGGGCGGTTATCTGCGTCCGGTAGGCGTGGAGGGAGGCTGCCCCGGACATGCTGCCGGAACCACGGCTCTCTTGTGCTCAGGACAGTGGTGGTCAGTCAACAAGATGGGAAAACGCCTAACAATTCCCT